AGTACATCAGAGAATTAGAGCAGTCTAATGATGACCTTGAGAGGACAAAAAGGTTAGTGGTTTATTACAATATACCGTGGTGTGTGTTTGTATCTATCTGTGTATCCATCTCTCTCTCTCTCTCTCTCTCTCTCTCTCTATCTCTCTCATATATATATATATATATATATATATATATATATATATATTCACTACCGTTCAAAAGTTTGGGTCACATTAAAATGTCCTTATTTTGAAGGAAAAATTTTGAAAATCTTATTTCATATTTGAAAATCTTATTTAAAATACAAATCATTATTTCTAACCTAGTCAATGTCTTGACTCTATTTTCTATTCATTTCACAACGTATGGTGGTGAATAAGTGTGACTTATTCACCACCAAACTTTTGAACGGTAGTGTATATCTGTATCTATATATAGATATATATAATAAAATACTGCTCAAAAATGAATATGGGAAACCGTATAGCTCCTAGCTTTAGCTAGTGACGTCCGGAGGCCCCCATGCTTAATGAATTGGTGCTAGGAAGTGCTTCCTCTTCCTAACTCCTTTCCTGGTTGGGGGTGTTTGGATTGAGCATAAATGTCAGTATTCCCAATTATGAAGAGAACAAAAAAGATTCAATAATTCACTAGATTCAGTAATTCACCCATTCACACACTGATGGTGCATAGCTACACTGGGAAATGATCTAGAAATAAGTAAAAATGTCTTAAATTAAGTGCATTTACGCTTGATTTGAATAGGTAAATGAGATTGTTTGCCAATGGAATGAGTGTTTTTACTCTTAAATAAAATAATTCGATAATATGCACTTGAAATAAGACTATGCAATTGTGTTTTCTTATTTTAAATCTGAATTGTCTAGCTCCATAGGAAACATGTCTTTTTTAATTCAAGAAAAAAATGTACTTATTTTAAGAAAAAATTACTTATCTAGATTTCCATTTTTTCCAGTGTATGATATAGCCACAGCTGCTTTGCTTAGATGGGGCAGAATAATTATTGGGACAGGTCAGGAACACTGGAGAATTAGCTAAATATATTCACCCCAGAGCTGTTTTTCTGCTTTCATCCTTTTTTAAACCAGTACAACACTTTGGATAGACCTGCTCTAGACACACGCATGTGTTACGTTTTATAAGATTAAACCCAACCAGTAAAGGTGACTGACTGTGACATGTCCAGGGCTACTATCATGTCTCTGGAGGACTTTGAGCAACGCATGAACCAGGTCATCGAGAGGAACGCCTTTCTGGAAAGTGAGCTGGATGAGAAGGAGAACCTGCTGGAGTCTGTTCAGAGGCTCAAAGATGAAGCCAGAGGTATGCAGACATATGATAGTTTCATTTCTGTGTTTGCTGCCAAGCTATGGGGCCTGTGTTCACAGACCGGATAGAAGCAGATTAAAACAAAAGTGTGCGGCATATACTTTAAAATGTTTTGCTGTGAGGTGGAGATGCTGCACCGTTGTAGAACATTCAGAGTACTGAAAAGTAATGGTTCAGTTCAGATTTACATTCGCTGTCTGTCAGATCTTCGTCAGGAGCTGGCCGTACGTCAGAAGGAGAGACGACCGTCCAGCAGCCTGGGCAAAGACTCTGATCGCTCAGAAATGCGCTGCTCCTCCCCTCCCATCCCCATCACACCGTCCAAACCTGCGGGCTCATACATGACTCCACCTGCATCCAGCATCCGCAGGGGTAACGACAAACTAATAGCCATGGACCAGGAAGAACAAATCATTTTGGTTCTTGACTTTTAACTCTATGGCTGCCTTCTTTTACTCCGCAGGAGACGGCCTAACAGGAACACCTCTGACTACATCTGCTAGGATATCTGCGCTGAACATCGTCGGGGAGCTGCTAAGAAAAGTTGGGGTAAGGATATTATTTATTTACATATATCTTCTTCTCAAATTAGGATCGTTGACCTTGCTGACTTTATAATTGCTTTCAGAATCTGGAGTCTAAACTGGCGTCATGTCGAGAATTTGTCTACGACACATCTGTCAGCAGACCGGCGCTCCCTGCTGGCCCGTGTAGTCCTTCAGGCTTAGACCCTGGTCCTGAGGCCCCAGCAAGCAGCTTCAGTCCTCCTCCTCAATACGACAGGTTAGAAAGATGATCTAAATAACCTGTTTCGATTATGTGAAAGATTTATTTATCATCTGATGCAACTTGTCTTTCAGTTTGGTGAAGCGGTTGGAGTTTGGACCAGCTCCTCCAAGAGGGGTCTCCCATGGTCTCCAATCTCCACAGGGAGGAGTCAAGATCCTGCTGTGAGATGGTTTGATAGGGCGAAGCATGTCTTCCTCCCTCAACTAAATAAACACAATGAGCTCAACTGTCCTCACAGAGGGCCTTCCTTCCTTCAGCTGAACGCCAGAAAGCTGCTCCCTAGTTAAGAAAGCAGAACCCACCACTCATCTTTTCAACTGTACGTTTGTTCCTGTATGGCGTTTAGGACCTTGTTTATTAGCGCTTTCTGTGATGGATCAAAGCACACCTAACTCTTAGCGAAGCTGCTGCACCTGCCTGCTCATCACGGTGTACGTGAGAGTAAAAGTGGGACAATGAGCCTTTGCAGGGACCAAAAACCTGCTGGTTTTAGATTTTATCAAACGTTTTGTTTTTGACCAAAGCTGTGATCAAATGTAAATGGATATAAATCCAATGAGTTGGGTTAATCTGTTAATAACAAACCCATTTTGTCCCATGCTTCCATTACATACCCATCATCAAACCATTTTGTATCATTTTCATAGATCTTTTGAATTAAAGTCATTTAAATATATATATTTTTTTCTTAAATGTTTTGTGATGACTTTAAATCACCTCTTTTTCTCATCCCTGCCTGATCAAACCAAAATATTTGCCGGTTAGCTGGTAGATTGTTTTCAATAAGTCTGATGGCAACATTTCATTGTAGGAGACGGTGTGATTTAGTTTTAAATTCTTAGTTTTCAAAGTGGATAATTTTGACAAAGTTAAAGGTATGATGGGGCAAAGAATCAGGATTCAATATTTTTTGATGTAAGCCTGGTCTGTAATGTTTTCAGTAAATAATATGCCAATGAATGAGAGAAAGTATCATTCAAAGCTAATGTGATGCCAGATTCATGGCATCGAATCAAGCTTTGGAAAAGAAAGGTATAACTTAATCTAACTGGTTTTATTTCAAACTAAATTATTCTCCTCCTGCTGATAAAATATATACAAAATATTGATGTAACCTTTTACGTATAAAGACTAAAAAAATGAATTAAAACAACTAAATATAGTTTGTTAGCCTATTGCACAGAAGGATAACAAATCTGTTGGATAGCAGCATATCTTTCAATTTATATTATAAACTGCATTACCTTTAAAAAGAACCTTATAAAGCCCTTACTGCCTGAGTTTGTTTAAATAGTTAAAGCAGTCATTTTTTGCCTTCAAGCAGGTGTTATAAATATACAAAAAGTACATTAGATTAAGATACTTAGATTGCCAATTAGTTACCGTAAATAAGGCATAATTGGGTAGAACTACACCATGGTGTGTACTAAATATTAAATATCCCACTTTGGCTGCATTAAAAACAGACGATATGAGGCAGATTGGCTGCAGTACTCTACATGTGTGCATTATTCTAATACTTCCAGAAAAGACCTGTTTGGCTATTTGAACATATGTGGTGGCAAAAAAGAAAAGAAGTTGAAATCAAAACGTTATGACCCATCAGTCTCACTGAGGTTACTCTGCTATACAAAAGTTGGTTCATGACTCATGAGGTGTTTTCCACCTGATTATCGTACAGTGAGTAATGGCCCAAGAGTAATGAAAGGAAATGTCATGTTGCCTTTTATATTTCTACTCTTCTGTCATACATATTCCTGCTACTACTGATTAATTTTGTTGCTCTCCTATTGTGAAGAGTTTTTTTGTGTTTCTGAGGGTTATAATTATCAATTTCTTATGTTTATGCTTTAATTCTTAAATTATATTTAATGATTTTGGGAGACATCTATAGAATTTGGATGCAATAATGAATGTTTAAGTCTTTTTTAACATGATGCAAGAAAAGGGTATAACACAATATTGTTTAACAGGTTTAAGATATGCATCCTTTGAGGTTATCTATGTAATATTGGACATTCTTACCGGGATTGATCGCTTGCAACGACTTGTTTTATTTAGGGTTTCTGTAAGGTTATAAATCCTAAACTAAACATGTGTACTTTGTCCCATTGTTCATGCATTCCCTCTTTTTCTCTACTTTTCTTTTTATGTCCAGCAATTTCCTTGGAGTAGGAATTTGGGATTCATAAAGCTGTGGTAAAACTAGAGGATAGCAAAAAGCAGAGGTTCACATGTTCCAGTAGAAGCTTTGTTGTTTAGCATCATAAAAAAAGCAAAAACACTGAAAAAAAAGTTAAACTGTGATGAGCCCTTTGTGAGCTGGATATAACCCTTCATTTTTAACTCAGATTATTTAACTTCATGTCAGGTTACATCTGTCTTGTCAAGTTTTATTTTCTTAGTTTTAGTAAGTCTTCAACTACTTGATGAAACCCTACCATTAGTTAATGTGCAGATATCAGTTGCATATTTAAACATGTTTGTTGTTATGAGAGCAGAAATGTCTCTTGCTGCTAGTAATCCTGAACCACTGTGTATTTTCTGTAGCCTCTCTGAAAATGCTGTTTGTGTCTGAGGCAAAACTCCAAAGGTGAGCATTTCTAGTTTTGGGGTCAGGAAGATGTTCTACACCCCTGATTTATAAAGTTATGTTATACTGGAGCCCTTGAATGACTCTCATTTTAGGTTTATTCAAAGTGGAAAAACGTCTAAACTGGAACATACCCATTTTTCTCCCAGCTTGTTTACAGTTTTTCCTCAATAAATGTGGGCTTGTTTGCAGAATATGGTGCATTAAAAAAAACAAAAACTTTTTTTTTAGATCTTTATTTTTGTGCAAGTGGTTCAACAATTAAAGAGTACAAAAAAGTGTCATGTAAACAATAGTTGATAATACGAAGATTTCATTGGTTTAAATGTGGAGAATAGTAGAACATGTACAGTAAATTTGAACATATGGAAAATAAAATGAGTGCTGCCAAGTGCCCGATAGCAAGTTCATGATTAATTTTATGGGGGACAAACTTTGTCTGATCTCTAGTGGGCAAAATCATAAAGACATCCTGGTACAGGAAAGGTGCAAATACTCTGTGACTTAAAAAAAAACAAGTCTGGGTTAATATATTTTTCAGATATAAAAGTCAGCACTGACTGGATGCAGAAAGCCAAAACTACACATCCAATCTGAACCCATTTCAGTACTGCTGTGAAACGATAACAGCAGTCACAGGCAACAGGACGACAGTCACTGATATTAGTTACATGTTTGTTTAAAGTGGGTGTTGATAAAAGGCTTTTAAGTCTGTGGAGAAAACATTGAATAAGAAAGAATCAGTCATTCAGTGCAGTACAAACAGTGTTTGTTAGAAACAGCAAATCACATCAGAGCCGCCCAAAAGACTCCTTGTGAACATCAAGTCCTGATGGTTTGTGTTAAGAACGTGTGCTACAAAGCATTAACTGTTAACTACCGGAAAAAAAAAATGGTAGGAAAATAAATGTTTAGAAATGACGTAAAGGATAACAAAGCAGGGTTTTGACACAACCTTTAGGTGCAGACATTCCCCAGAACTCTAAACCCTCCACCTGATTTCCAAAATATCTTATTCTGAGGACTTGGTTCCATTGAAGTCATTTTGGGTATCTCCTTCCTCCTCTGAGGCGTCTTCAACCACCCTTCGGCCTCCACCCATACGCCGTGGTGCGCTGCTGAAGGAGGGCTCCGTTCCACGTCTAAAACGCCACAGAGGCATAAAGGCACGAGAAAGACACATACAAAAACACAGCACAGTGAGAGGAGCGCAATGACGCCTGTACTCATTAGATTTTGTGTAAAACCCAGTCATGTGTTGCACACTGCAAGGAGGATCAATGAGACGCAGAACAAACAGATTGTGCTTCGGTTACTGCTAAAGCACGCCGGTTATCTTTGTAACTCATTTAAGTCCTTCCTCAGGAAAATGAGTTTGGTTTATGACACTTAAACCAAGCACTGAGTGAAAGATGGCCATCAGAAATAGGGGATTGATTAAAACTAAACAATATAGTTTCAAGATTTTTTTTTTTTTTCTTGAAATAGATGAGCCATATTTCCCTCAGTTAGGCTCAATGGAAGAAATAAGAGCATTTAGAGTGAGCATGGAGGATGAAAAGACTGTAAATAAATGAGAAATGGTGATGGGCAACTTTGAATGCAGAGGTACCTGCTGTGTTACTCCTTAGGCTCAGGGTTGCCTCTGTAATAGAGATGGACAGGATTGTTTTGCTTCTACTCAGCAAATATAGAAACATGGATTCTAATATCCTGTAATGTTTGTAGTGAAGAGTCACTTTATAGTCAAACTGGCCAATTGTAAAGTGAGATGCACTCTGAAGGACTTGAACAAGGTCCTTAACAGCATTCTTCAGTACAACACAGATTCTTAAAAAAGTGTTTAACAAACTAAACAATTTCAAAACGCTCAAACTATTTGGGTATTTAAGTAAAACTGCAAAACCAATATATAATCTACAGGTTTATCCTTTGAACATTTTCATAACTGTTCTGTTTAGCACACATTTAAATATATGCATTATGGGCTTTTATGCACATGAAAGTAGTACATAACTAAAGTTGGAGGATAATGATGCATAGTTTTAAATCCTTTTTTGGGTCAAAGAAAATTCTGAAGTGTGCAGCTGATGGCTGTGGGGAAATGAATGTAGGTGGCTGGAGGGAAGTCTTAAAAGATAGGAGGATATTGAACTTCCAGAGCCAAAATGGTGTGCTTGGATCAAAGTACTACTTATTAGAATGGCCTAGCCAAAGTCCTGAGAATCTTAGTACAGCGATGCTCTCCATCCAATCAGACTGTGCCTAATCTAGTTTCAGGAAGCATAGTGCCTGGTTTTAGTCTCTAATCTGCCCAGTCTAGTCACCAAATAGGCAAAGCTAGTAGAGACCTCACAAACCGGGCTCATGGGTGTAATTACAAGCCACACTTTGAGGTTTCATTTTGTAACCGGGCCCCATTCTCCTCACAATTTCAGTTAGGTTCTACTTAGTATGTACCTTGTAAAACCCACACAAAATACATTCAAGTTTCTAAAAATGTGACAGAATATTAAATTAATTTAGGGTTTTGAATATGTTTGCATGGGGCAGTAAAACTGATTTTTTTAAAGGTACTTAGGGCAAAATAAACAATGAGGAGCAGAAACAACACATCACCTACCTGAGTTTGTTCTTGAGGGAGCTGACTTCACGGGTCATGGCATCATTGGCCTCAGTGGCTTCATCCAACTCGCGCTGCAGCTTCCTGCGGGCAGCTGTGGCACGCTGAGACTCCTCCTCTGACTCCTCTAACTGCCTCTTCAGCTGCTTCATACGAGTATTTGCCTTCTCTGCCTGGTGGATTAACAGAAGTGATCATCTAACTGAGAACACTGCTTTTTATCTGTAGGGCTGTTGCTTGTTTGTGTGAACCAAGCCATGGCAAAAATAAAGTATTTATTATACTTTCTTTTGGTTTCAAGTTAGTCATCTAATACACAGAAAGAAAAGTTCAGTGTAAGCATGTAGAAAGATTGCCAATCTTCCTGTGAATTAACTACCCAACAGATTGACCCATCAAGATCTATTGTGAGAGCCTAACACCCCACAGCTACAACTCACAATCAGCACGCCTCAAGTAGCACATTAAATGTTAACATTTAAAATGATACTAGCAGGAAATGACTAAATAACTGAGTTGATTGAATGGTTTATTGCAGATGGTCTTCTCTATATGGCAGCAATGACCACAATAGATACTGCATGCCTCCAGCACAAGTGAATTTGCATTTTTACCTGATCTTTGTATTGCTCTGACTGTTTTCTTTCATCTTCCAGCTGAATCATCAGGTCCTTGAGCTTCTTGTCCTTCTGGCGCATGTTTTTGGCACTAGCCTGCTTATCTCTAAGATGACATAAAAATGAAACAAATCAGCTCATGTTCGGAAGCAATACACAATTATTTTATTTGCTCCTCACCTATTCTCCTGCTCCAGCTGTTCCTCCAACTGTGCCACCTTAGCCTCCAAGGCAGTGATGGAGGACTTAAACTTGGACTTGACCTGGTTCTCCATCTCCTGCAGCTTGGCCTTCAGCTCCTTATTTTGGCGCTCCATCTGCTGCCGGGCACTGTCGTTTTTCTGAGAGGTGGTGCGCTCTGTCTGCAGCTCATTCTGCAGCTGCTCCACCTGAAAAAGAAATACATCCAGAGTTAATGTTGAAGGCTGCCAGTTTCATTACGCCGTTATTCGAGGAGCTTCTCCGACTGCAGCACCTGCTGGCCACTCTTCCTCAGTCGGTCGTTGAGGATCTCCATGTTGCTCGACTCCTCCTCAAGCTCCTCCTCCAACTGGCTTATCTTGGCTTCAAGACGGCGTTTATCATCCGCCAACGCAGATCTATAACAATGGATAAATGGCACGGAAATTCGATTCAATTATACTTTCTTGATCTAAAAGGGAAATTAAATGTTGAAGTAACTCTTGGGGTTTATTTACAACATGTGGTTTGTATGTTAATGACTGAAAGCAGGTATTAAAATGTCATCTTCTCACATTTTACCTCACAAATAAAATGAAAGCTAGAATATTCAACCCACTTTCCAGAAGAGTTGCTTGCCAGCTCATCAGAAAGTTCATCTCTCTCAGCCTCTGCCTGCTTCCGTGCTCTTTCAGCTGCAGCCAGGTCCTGGAAATGGATTAGAGTTGCTTCTTCCAGTTACTAAGAATCCTCTGATTGCACAGAGATTTTTACCATGTCAGAAATCTGTCATATCACCTCCTGTAACTGCATGAGCTCCGCCTCCAGACTCTTTGCCTTTCTCTCGCTCTCCTTAGCAGAGGACAGCACCTCTTCCCGTGCAGCGTGAGAATCCTCAAGCTCCCTCTGGTAGTCCTTCATTTGGGCCTGGACGGAGAAACAAATGAAGAGAACAGAGAGAGACAGAACACATCTTAAATGGTTTATTTGGAATATTTACTGTACTAGAACCAAAGATCTCTGGCATTGTAGTAACTAGTCGTTATAATGGTCAAGGAATCTGTCCTAGGACTGCTTCTCAGAGAGTTGATGCTGGCTGAAAGCTTTTTCTTTAAAAGATCTTAGGAAAAAACACCGATCTGATATGGGTTACAAGCTTTAAACAAGGTAACTGTATGGCTTGTCCAACTCTTAAACTGATGAATAGAATAAAGTAAAGCAGAAATGTGAAGCAGAAGTAAAAAGACACTGAAAACTGCATCAAGGGTTTTCATTCAGTATCAAACCACTATACTCCAACACCCTAAACAGTAATAACTTTAAAACGAACTGAAGAGATGCACATGTAGTGGAAGCAATGGTCAACAGGACAGCTTCACTTTGCAAATCTAGCCTCCATGGGGCAGTAGTATTAAGAAGAGAGCCTTAAGAAGACTCATTTTTAGTTTCTCAAAAGTTGTGACTAAATAAATGTAAACATTTTTGTGAACTTCCAACATTTAAAATAGTGGCAGCAAGAACATGCTTTAAGAAACTGTATCTAAGGGCCCTGTCACACCTTGCAAATTTAGACAGCGTATTTTTTCAAATTTGGGTGTATAGATAGAGTATTCATAACGAGTCCAGAGGGCATGTCCAACGACAGCCTAACTTATGCATGACACACGGCAAAGTAATGCTCATGAAATGATGCACATGCCAGTGTCCTGAGGGGGGCAGCAGTGCGCCCAGAGGCGCCTGGCCTACATAAAAAGATTTATTCGATCAAGATATTAACCTAGATGCTGTTTACCGCCGCTAAAAATTAAAAAAGAAAAAGAAAGAAGGTTTGCAGTCGCAGCAGATTCATGTTGCTATCATCATGTCTGCTAGGGAGTTCGTTGGTCATGGCCATAGGCGTAAACACAGGGAGGATCCATCACACTCATTTTCACGCTCACCGTATGCTCTAATTTCTCAACATACTCACCGCTTATAACTTATACAAAACGTACCCATAACTTCTACAACTTATGTGTTTTTTTCCAGATTTTTCGTACGTCAGGGATACGCTGGCTAAATCTCCAAGGCGTGACAGGGCCATTAGTAGGAAAAAGCCATCTGGTTAGTTGAATGGAAGGTGGCTGAAGCATAAAACATGGCAATTCTTAAAGAAAACCCATTTTGAGGCAATAAAGACTTGAGCATATTTTCATCTTCAAGTGGGAAAATGACCTTGAACATACAAAATGAGCTGCAATGGAAGAGTTTAGAACAAAGCACACGTTTGAATGGCCAAGTCAAAGTCCAGACCTAAATTCAGCCAAATTAAACAGATACCCATCATCCATTCTGTCTGGTCCTCAGTTAGATTCACAGCCCTGAAGTTTGGGATTGTAACATGACAGATCTGACTAATTTTAGAGGCTTTAAAATACGTTAAAAGACACCACATGCACAATAAAACATGAGCCCCATGCACAAAGGCCCAAAAGAAATCTAGGAATGCTCCCTCTTGTAGATTCCACTCATCCATCCCCTCACTCTCACCTGGAGCTTGCGAAGCTGCTTGATGGCCTCATCTCGTCCCTTATTGGCCGTCTCTATCTGACTCTCCAGATCTTTCATGTCCGTCTCCAGCTTCTTCTTGGCTGCTGCAGCCTGGGTTCTCTGTTTACGCTCATCTTCCAGCTCTGTCTCCAGCTCACGGACCTGCAGTTTGTGTGAATTAGCATTTAATATTTAAATTAAAGCCTCTTTCTAATTCGAGCTGAAAATAATCAGTTGTAGTTCTAAAGGCTTTTTTACCTGCTTAATGAGCTGCCTCTTCTTCTCCTCTCCCATCTCATCCCGCCCTTGAAGGTCTCTTTCAAACTGGGCCTTCAAGGCCTGCATGTTGACCTCAAGGCGCAGTTTGGCATCTTCAGCTGCCTGCAGCTCATCCTCCAGCTCCTCTAGCTGGGTCTTCATCTCCTCCACCTGGGCCTCCAGGCCTCGTTTGGACTTCTCCAACTCATGTACCTGCAATCAGCATCTTTTCAAATTAACAAGGAGGCTGAAAATAATTTCTAGGCAAAAATCTACTGACAGAAGTTTCAGGAACTAACATTTTTTCCAACATCATCCTTGGAACTGATCAGGTCTTCCATCTCAGTCTTCAGGGCCTTGTTGGCCCTCTCCAGCTCCTCTCTGGAATCTTGGGCTTCCTCCAGAGCCCTCGCCAGTGACAGAGCCTTGGTTTCCTTTTCTCTGGCCTCGGCTTCTGCACGATCTCTTTCATCTGCATATTTACTGGAGATGCTCTTCTCCTCAGCCAGCATCTGAAGGTCAGATGAAAACATCACCCGTTTAATGCAATTACATATTAATGCAACATATTAATTTCTGGAACATTTGAATTTGAACAAATTTCACTTAAATTCAAAACCGGAATGATTGATTTTCGAGTTACCTGATCAAACTTCTTCTGCTTCTTCTCCAGGTTGGACACAACCTGTCTCTGGTTGTCCAGGTCCATCAACGTGTCCTCCAGCTCCTGCTGCAGACGGTTCTTGGTCTTCTCTAGCTTATCGTATGCAGAGGCCTTCTCTTCAAACTGAGTGTTGGCTGCCTCCAGGTCTCTTTGCAACCGCTTTTTCCCCTCCTCCAGAAGCTCTATATTACCAGACATCTCCTCCATCTTCTTCTTTGCATCTGATAACTGTAAGGACAGAAAAATATTGTTTTTTTTTATTTCACTTAATTCTCTATATTGTTTAAAAAAAAGAAATAATTCTTGACCTGGATGTTGAGGGTGGAAACATGGCGCTCCACGTTCCTCTTGGCCTCCGTCTCCTCCTCCAGCTGCTCCTGCAGGCTGTTCTTGTCATCTTCTGCTTGTCGCAGCTTTGTAGAGATCTGCAGTTTCTGACGTGTCTCCTCGGCCAAAAGCTCCTGTGAATAAGCAATGGTTGAGAGGGGGGCAGCTTTCCAGCTCCAAAGGTATTACAGCATAAAAAAAGGTCCCACGTCGAGTTTCACCATTTCAGCACATACCTGTGTATCTTGGAGCTGGGAAGAAAGGCTTGAAACATCTTTGCTTAGTTTGATATTCTTGCCCTCTGCTTCATTCAATAAGTTTGTCACACTCTCCAGTTCAATCTGCAAAGGGGAAAAATACCTCTAAGCTTTCCTGTATTCCAATATTTCAATCCCAGTACTTATTTCAGAAAAAAGCAGAACAAGAAATAACTTGCAGTGATCTTAGAGCAGCGCTCCCCCAGCTCAGCCTTTTGCTTTTCACTATCAGAGAAGCGGGACTGCAGATCCGCCATCTGACCCTCCAACTTCTTCCTCTTGTGCTCACCATCCTGTTTGGCCTGAGTGAGCGAGCGCACCTCCATGGTTAATTCAGAGGTTTCCTTCTCCAGAGCTTGTTTAGCCTTTTCAAGATTGGACTTCACCTGAACAGAAAATTGGAAAGTCATTAAAGCTACTACTAAAAAGGACAGCTTGTGGGTCAAAGACAAAGGCCTACTCGTTTGGACTGCTCCAGTTGCTCAGTCAGCTCCTCCACAGCTTGGGTGTGTTTCTGTCGCATCTCGTGTACTTGAGCCTCGTGTGTGCGGTTCTCCTCTTCCATGGCTCTCTTGAGCAGGGTCACCTCTTGCTCTCGTTTGGCTCTGTAGACGGACAGAGAACCAGCACAGTTTTTAGATTTTTATTAAATGCCTGAAAGAATGCTTTCATCATTTCCTTTTTAAATGACCCGCCTTAATTCTTGTTGAGTGGCAGTGGTATCTAGAGTGTCTTCCAGCTCTGATTTGAGTGCCTCCAGCTCCTCCCCGAGGTCCCGCTTGATCTTCTCTGCCTTGTTCCTGGCCGCTCGCTCAGAGTCAAGATCCTCCTGCAGGTCGGATATGTGTCCCTCCAGCTCTCTGATTTTCTTCAGAGCGTTGTTTTTCTGGGCAGTCTCATCTTCTAACCTGGCAAGATTAAGGGTAAACCTGGTGGTAACTTGAGCTCAGATCAGTTATTTATAACTTTATGAGGTAAATTAGAAATATTTTGAAATTTACATTTCTTATTTTGATGTTATTTTTTTAAACACTATTGGTAAATAAAGCAGTTTATAACTGTGTGTGGGAGGCAGAAAAAATACAGGAGAACCATGTTGTGCTTTGATTTTCTTGGCACACAGACTGAGCTTGAACAAATCTAAAAAAACATTGCTAAATAAATTGTCTGATTAGATGGAATATCATTTTCCAAGTTTAAGCTCATTAGAATTATATTTAACCATTCATGAGTTTTCTTCCAATCATGCATAGTATTCTGTTTTGTCACTTAATATTTTGTTGTTTTAGCATAAGTCATAAAATGTTTGTATGAGGTATGAAGACTTTTGCAGGTGCAGGATGTTACCTGGCCAATGCATTCTGTAATTCGTCCTCTTTCTTGGCAAGTTGAGCTTTAAGGTCTGCAATCTGAGCCTGCAAATCAGCTATTTGTTCTTGTAGGTCATGGGACTCCGCCTCCAACTTGCGCTTCGCCTTATCCAGCTCCTGGCGAGTCTTTTCTTCTTTCTTCAGGCGAACTGGAAGAGTTTAGAAATCAACTTAAGAATCTCACTATTAAAAACAACATATTGTTCCACATATTGATCAAACATCTGATGATTACCCTCCAACTCTGAGATCATGGACTCATGTTTATTTTTGAGCTTGGTGAGGTTCTTGGATTTCTCCTCTTCCTCTGCCAGGTTGGCACTAAAATCAGCAATTCGTTCCTCCATCAGCTTACGCTCCTACATTATAAAGCATCAATACTTTTAAATAAAGTCTCTCAGTAAATAACAACCAGAAGTCTGAGATTAATGGTTCTGGGTTGTTAACCACACCTTCAGAAGCTTGTTGTTTTGGTCCTCCATAACCAGAACGTCGTCCTCAAGCTTTTTTATCTTTCCTTCACAGGTCACCTTCTCCAGCTGCAGCTTCTGACGGGCATCCTCTTCCTCTTCTAAATGCTCCTCAAGTTCCTTTTGCAAGAAAAAAAAAAGAAAAAAAAAATCCAGAAATGAGTTTTATCTCCTGTCAATACAGAGATAAAAGAACACAAACTGCAAAACTAAACATCAGACCTGCATTTGCTGCTGCATCTTCTTTTTGTCCAGCAGTAGCGTCTGAGCACGTTCTTCCTCTTCATCCAGCCTGGCTTCCATCTCATGGAGGATCTCCTCCAACTCCTGCTTCTTAGCTGCCAGTCGGACCCTCATCTCCTCCGCCTCTGCGTACAGCTCTGTCTCTGCCTGGAGCTGCTCCTGCAGGGCATTTCTCTCCTCAACAACCTGTAACATAGAAAGTTAAATGATAAACAGCCTCCTTTCTTCTTTTGCTTCCTTTGGTAAATTTGAACACTAATGGCGTAATGGTTAATGGCTCGCTGGTCCCTTGTATTGGAGATATATAGATATAAAGAAATATGTAAAGAAAATAAATGGGCCTCTAAGCGGGACCCCATTAGCTTCACATCTGCCGCTGTCATGGTTGCCTTTAAGGATTTGAACTTTAATCTTTACTTGGACAAGTTGCTTTCTTCAACATCTCTTTACAAAAAAACAGCACAATAAAATAAAAACGGTGGCAACCTATGCTCAGCAGACCCAAGGTTCTGAGAAGGTGAGAAGAAGTAGTCCACAGAACAATGATTCACTTGAACGGAGTTCATTACAATAATTGAAGAGCAATGTAATAAAAACATGGATTATAGTTTCCATAGTTGTCTGTAGATGAAGGTTTTGACATTTGCCAACTGCCTTAAATGATTAAGTGACATTCTTTCGGGACCTCGGTCTTCTGGGCCTGGGGGTGTGCTAATATTTGGAGATGGCTATCCTTCATGATCATGTGTATAATTGCTATGTTCGATCTATTGTTGACCTTTTTTACTCTATTTTTTTCCCTCCGTCTTCCCTGCTTTGACCATTGTCCCCTGCTGGTGAGCCTCAGTTTTAAACACTTCTGATCTTCCTCCCTGTAAAATTGGCTCATTCAAGAAGCTCAAAGGACTAATAAAGGAGGCTGTCTCTGTTCTAGAAATTCCTCTAGAACCTCTTGAGATGATGTCACAAAGAAAGATTCTTTATAAAATGAAGAACATTAGCGACAACAATGACCATCCTCTTTAGAAGATTGTTAAACAACAGTGTCTTTAGTTTAGAACTTCTCCAGATCCAGCACTAGATATATATATATATATATTTATATAGCAGCAAATTAACTTTTTGATACTATTGCACTGTCAAATAAAAAATGTGATAGGTAGCTCTGGTGTCAGCCTTTACCTGAGTGTGTTTCAAGGTGATATCCTTCAGCTCTGATTCAAACTTTGTTGCCACCTCTTTGGCTCTCTGTAATTCTTCCTCCTTTAGGCCCATTTCCTCCTCCTGTCGGGTCACTTGTAGCAGAGGCTTGACCTGTTATTTGAAACGAAAATTTAAAAATCTTAAATTCAAAATTGTTTAAATTATTTATCTAGCCATATTCTTGATGAAAAACTATTAAGTTTTGTAAACAAAAGAATTTAAATGAGCATGCTTATATGTTAACTTCAATGTTTTGTGGAACTTTAAACTTAAGGCGTATTTTTTTTTATTACAGGTCCCAACTTGTTGCAGATTTTTACAAGGTAACAAATCAAATTATTTCTAAAGTTTGGAAAAACTTTTAGAAAAGAGCTCTAACTTTTTCCTTTAGAGGAAAACACATTGTGTTCTTCAGTATAAATTTTAACTGAAGGCTAATGGCCTAGTTATCTAAATAGACTGGTCAAGTTCTGGTGATGTAGAGCCTGCTAAAGTCAGGGAATCTCCAGGTGGGTTTGCAAATGATAAGCAGAGACATTATAGCCACGCTATTGATTTTCCATCACTTCAAACTTTTCATTTTATCCATCCTATTGAGGAGAAGCACTGAAATAACACTGTGTAAACCATAAGTGTGAAGAATGTCCTTATCAAAAGGAGCCGGTTTTAAGAAGGAAGACTAACATGCATTGGGAGTTGCTGCAGCTAAAATAATATCTGAATTTCTAATCAACATTTGTTTAGTTTCTGATGGTTAAAATAGGATAATGCAATTAACAGCATATATATTGCAAATGTAACTACCTAAAATATATATGTCAACTTCCTGTATTGTTAAACTATGGACTTTGTTCAAAATATTTAGATAGTTAACTATGAAGAAAAGCACAGCAGTAAGGCTGCAACTAACATGTTTCACCATAAGGATGGTGTTTAAAAGTTGGTATTGACGTATGCAAATGAAACTCAGAACTAGTTTTTGTTAAGAATACCCTTGCATAACACCAAGCATGAACAATAAAACCATGCTCCTGTGGGACATGGTTATACACGTTTGAAGCAGACCTTTGTGAAGAGTCTCCACCACTGCCAGTTCCTGAGTTTAAGGTAAGCAGCACAGTTCCTTTGGATCACTTTCATAGCGGTTAGTTGCTGCTGCCGCTTGGCGAATGCCCTTTGAAAAAACAACAGTTCAAATCCAAAACGTGAAATCAACAGGGGAAAAACAGCAAAATGGAATCGTTCTAGTGGCAAATGAAACCAGCCAGAATTCTGTGTGTGAAAATTTGCTTGTTCCTACTTTCTGGCCAAAAAGCCTCTCGCCTGAGCCTGGAAAGCGATGATGATCACGGTGATCTTTAAATCCCTCTCCTCCTCCAGTTGGGCAAGCACTCCTGTGCGGAAGAAGATCTTACTCTGTCCAATCCTGTACAGGTTGGGGTCCAAGTCAAGATGCTTGATCTGTACAAACATAAGATTTTTAATATGGCCATCTAAAGTAACAGGGTGGATCTGGGCATGAAGAGGAGAGATGAATAATTTAAATGTTCCCACCATGATGCAGCAGGCTTGTTTGCCATCCATGAAGCCTTTAGGAATAGCACTTGCTGCCAAAATCTCATATCTGTGCAGAAATGGAGAGAAGGTCACCATCACCCTCGAGTTATTCAAAAATTGATTTGAAGATTAATTAATCGCTTTAACCACCTTTGCCGGAACTCCTGGAAAACGATTCGATTGGGAAAACCTTGTCGACAGATTCGGATGCCCTCCAATACACCGTTACACCTGAGCTGCTCAAGGACCAGGTGTGCATCCAGCTTGCCTGCCTAAAAATGTTTCAATTCTAATAGTTAATTAGAATATGTATGTTATAGTTATGATTTAATACATATACCAACAGAGATATCAGCTTCACCCTTTTCTCGTGGTTTGGGATGATGCATCTGACAAAGTTGGGCTGAGTATTGTGCAGTGTGGTCATGAGTTTTGTCAGAGACTCCTTGTAGAGCTGTCCCACAGTGCGAAACATGCCCTTCTTGGTTTTTGATCCACTTGGCATGGAGCTGTCTGTCATCTTGGCTAATGTGTCCAGACCCACCACCCTGTCCGCTGACAAACACAAAAAAATACAAGGTTTTACATTTATAAAAGAATATGGGTATATCTATGGGATTTTAAAGTAGAAGAAAATGTTGGTGCATTGTCATCTTACAATCTTTCCAGAGGTCCTGCACAAACTGGCTGGAGGAGTTGTTGAGCAGTGCTGTTACGTTGTCATTTAGAGGGTCCATGTTCTTTGTAAGCCAAGATGTGGCATTATAATCCACCTAAAAAACAGAAATGAGTGTGTTACTTTAGAGAATGTTTGTGAGCAATCAGGCATCACCATGAATGATAAAACTGATGGTTTAAATCAGGGGTGTCAAACTGGTTCCAGAAAGGGCCGTATGGCTGCAGGTTTTCTTTCCAACCAAGCAGTAGCACACCAGACTCCAGTCACCTCATCAAGTGAGTCCAGTCTTAACATGATGACTTGAGGAGATGAATGGATTCTGGTGTGCTACTGCTTGGTTGGAAAGAAAACCTGCAGCCTCACGGCCCTTTCTGGAACCAGTTTGACACCCCTGGTTTAAATGTTAAATTCTAGCTGCAATGTAGCAATTCAAATATCAAATTTTCATTCACATATAAATCGATGTTAACATTCCACTATATTTGGAGAATTCAGATTTGTTTCTTCCTTTAAGAAAACTGGGTTAAAGAATCAAGAGGCGGTGCATCTGTGGGGTTTTTGGGGTCCTAATAACCACACATTTAATTCTAAATTGGTTGAAGCAACACTTCTCCTGAAGACTTTCTTTCCTCTGGGTTGTGCTCTCTTTATTTACCCCCTCTGTCCTGTTTCTAACCCCATCCGTTTCCTGTTTCTTTCCGTTTATTGGCTGCAATGCCTTAAGTCCCTCCTCCTGTCTTGTGCTTGTTCAGTTCGTGCTGAGGAAACGCTGGTATGTACAGTATGGACAGATATTGATGCTACCATCTTGTTTCTCTGGATGTGCTAGCATATATTTTCCAGGAAAACAGTCTCTCTCAGTCATGTCAGATTCATGACCCTTTTAAGATTTTAATTGTCTTATTGTTACTTTGTATAATCAAAATAGAGGAAGGAAAAAGACCAAATAAGAAAACTTTTTCATGAGAAATCCAGTAAGAGATATTGCTGTAAAATTAACCACTGTTTTGGATTAAACTTTTTAGCGTAATATGAGCCCTAAAGTATACTGGTATGTATAAATTTGAGCTCAGTCTCCGTCAATGCTCCCTTTTATGTTATAAGAGCTGAGTGAAATACACAACAGTTGTACTCAAGTTAGAGCACAATAATTTAAACAAAGCTTTACTCAAGTAAAAGAAAAAAGTAGTAATCTAGGAAATTACCCAGAAGTAAAAACCTATTTGTTTAAAAGTAGCCAAATGATCATAAAACCTGATTTGCAAACTTGTATTCAAATTGTGGCATTTTAAAGAGATGTAGAAAAGATAAAAGTTATAGAACTATTTCAGTTGAAATAGTATCAGAATAAGTTTGTCTAATTAGAGTATAAACCGTATAAAACTGATGCTTATAGTATAGTATGTAATGTATTGTACATAGATAGTAATAGGGCTAGTTACTTCCAGTACACTGTTTGCTGAACATGCACTAAGCCTTCAAGTGACTCAGCAGTACAGGCACACACAAAAAAAATAACATTAGAACAGAAAAGTTTGAGTAATAAAAATAAGTCTGATTAAAACATGAACTGTAGGTGTGTCTCTCTGGTGCATTTTTTTTGTTCTTCACTGAATAAAGGGTTACCCAAGAATAATGATATTTCATCATATTTTTACTCAAGTAAAAGTATAAATCACAATACAGCAAAACTATACTTGTTTTTAATAAAAAGTTAATCAACTTAATGTTACTACTACCAAGCTCTGCTGGTTATAGGCTGATGGAGAAGGCATCAGTTTATAAAAGCACATTTGGGTATTTTAGAGGATTTAAGGTAGAGACTTAGGTCTATTGGTTGCTTTTTATTGTTTATTATGTCCTAAGCATAAAAAAAAAACAGTTTGGAAAGCCTGATGAGATTATGTTAAAATAAATGATAAAAACAAAACTCACAGCCAATTAGAATCTCAATTCAAATGTGATGCCACCCATGGATGAACAACAACACCCCCAAACTTTAAAAAAAAAGCTTGCTTCACCACTAACCATCTGGAACCTTAAACATTTATGAAAACTTTATTTAACTAAATCATGATCTGGAAAATAATAAAAGCAAATAAACCTTTACAGACCTTTAACAAATGTGAATCCTTTTAGATAACAATCTCACTGTTATCTAAAAGGATTATTATCTACAAGTAGTATTCAAAGTAGGTGAAAAGGTAAACAAATTAAAAATAAACCTTTTAACCACCTTCAGAGATCTGAACCATTTAAATGGTATTTCAGAATAAAATAAAGTATGTCTTATGAAATAAAAGTATATCAGAAAATTAACAGGATCAATGCATTGTTCCTTCATGTTCACCTTTCCAGCGTAGTGAAGAACGGAGAACTCTGTTTTGCCTTTAATCTGCTTAGATTTGGCAAACTTCACATGGTTTCCTTGAGTGTTTATGAGTTTCTCCACAAAGGAGACATCTGTGGCTTTTGGAAACCAGCACTCTTCATCCAGCAGGGCCAAGATGCCGGGGGGATTGTTCTGTAGAGGAAACACCACTAGGTTGAAGAATAGGAAACACCCAAATATGTGGATATTCTAAACTTCAGACTTCTTCTTTGTAAGTCAGTGGGGATTTTTAGCAAGTCGGTACTCATTACCGGCCTTTCGATGAGCTCGATGCAGGGCTGCAGGTCAAGCCCGAAGTCGATGAAGTTCCACTCGATGCCCTCCCTCTGGTACTCCTCCTGCTCCAGGATAAACATGGTGTGGTTGAAGAGCTGCTGCAGCCTCTCGTTGGTGTAGTTGATGCACAGCTGCTCAAATGAGTTGTCCTAAAAACAACCAGATCACACAGCACAAGGTAAACATCACTTGCCTTCTACCATGCAAGAAATATTACCTTGAGGCATTTGGGTCTGCAAAAGTAAGTATGTGACAGGTAAATATATCCATACTTCAAAAATCTCAAAGCCAGCAATGTCTAGAATTCCAAGGAAAGAGGCTCCTTGACGTTTGGTCTTGTCCAAAGCTTTGTTGACACGACCCAGGATCCAGCGGAAAAGTCGCTCAAAAATGGCCTTAGCCAAAGCTTCAATAGCAAAGTCAGCCTAATATGGAACAACAAAAAGCAAGAGTGCTGATTATTATATAGCGACTACTTATGAGTCTATAGTAAACGGTTTAATCAGTTAACATCATTGGCACCTGCTCTTTGGTTTGGGCCTTCTGCACGACCTCTCTGCCAACTTTGATACGAGGGGTGAGGATTGCTTTGGTAAAGTCTATCACGTTGATGCCCTGTAGGTGGCAAACCTTCTGCGCCGCTGTGGAGTCGTGAAGAGTGGTTAACTCATAAAACCGATAAATAAAGTACATTATTCAATAATCAAATTGGTAAAGGGGGGTTAGACAAAAAAAATTGATTTGTAGGACGTAAATCTGTCTAACCCGTGTTGTCCGGCATGGTTGCCTGCTCTTGATTCCTTTCTTTCTTAAACTCGATGTTTCCCAGCTGCATTACCGTGGAGCAAACCTTCAGTATATCTGCATAAAAAGAGCAAACACATGAAGTAACTGGAAAGGTACAGTCACTGTATGGAACTAGAGCTGGACAATAAATCTGTATCAATATATAAACACCAGATTAATAGAAATAGAAAATACACCTGATTTAGTTCAATAATTCCACTGAACCTCTGATCCAAAACTACAAGGCATTCTGGGAGGCCCCCTTAAACTCTCACAGCCAAACAAAGCAATTTGGTGGTTGGGCTGACCTCTTTTTAAAATGATAAGGGGTAGGTTTCAATTGTGCTAGGCTTACAATCTAAATTCTTTTTTCACCTGACCCTAAATTCAAATAGGTTAACAAAACACTAATCAATAGTTATCTGTATAAATTGATCTATAGGACATTTATTGAGATACATTTTCAGCTATATCACCCAGCCCTATATGTAACAGATAAAGATTGCAGGATTTTGCAATCAAACTAACAGAAATGCGACTCAAAATAAGTGAGTAATTTAGTGATACCAGTTCTTTCCTCCTCAGTGAAACCCATGATGTCCATTGCCTCCATGGTCTCCTCGTATAACTCATCATCTTGCTGCCCAGCAATCTGAACATGGCCCGCACTCAGGAAGCGATAGTTACTGAAGGGTTCCAGCAGAAGGTCCTCTGATGATAGAATAAGAACAGTAGTCAAAAACAAACAACAACAAAAAAACAACTTTGAGGTATTATGGAGTTTACAAATGATATTGCCACCTTTGGCCAAAACACAGAACTGCAGTGGTCTTCTGCTAGTTCTCGTAGCTCGTGCTTATGTTTTTTTTCTTTATTTAACTTTTTTTTCTACTTTACGTAGAGTTGGCATTGTTTTCTGAGTTCTGACGCATGCTGGTTCTTATGAGTATCCATAAAATCCATGACATCAGCGCAAACATTGCAGGAACTTTCGACCTGAAGTAAATGCGGGAAATAAAATACAAACTTATAGATGAATCGGTGCCGAACTACTAAGGTGCCAGTCTGCTCATTAATCAACTTTATAGTTGGAAAGGGTAAAAAAAATAAGGCTATTTTAAAGATATTTTTCAGTTAAAACTTACATAATGTATCTTTAATTGAAAGCTCTTTCAAACCCCTCTTCTTTGCTCTGATGTTTTCAAACTATGCTTGTTTCCCCCCGTACTTGTATGACCATCTGTCCCCTTTTCAGTAATATTATATATATATTATACATGTTCTGACAATCATCTTACCTCTCAGTTTGTCTTTAGCTCCAGCAATCATGTAGTAGAAGATGTGAAAAGCTCTCTCCGTCTTTGCTTGTCGGATGCATCGGGACTTCTCCAGCAGATCTGAGAGCAGCCGCCAGTTAAGGAACACTCTGCAGCCAGCAAAAACTTTAGATCATTTTTTTTATGGTCAACATTATGCTTTTTATTTCAAAAAAACCTTTAGAGGCCTTTACAGAACAGCTTAATTTTCAAAAAGGTGGAGATTTTTTTACACATAAATTTTAGACAGTGAACAAAATATCATAAAATATAAAGTTTGTGGTTATAACAAACAAAAGAAGAAATATATATTTAAGGGATATGAATACATCTGTTAGACTCCGTCTCCCAGCTATCGTTGGGACAGTATTATGATGACACTGCAGGTGGACTTACTACCAGAATAGCCTGAACTGTAGGATTTACCATTTCAGAAACAATAAGGATACAAGTCTCAATGTTAGCTCCAACGATGTAGCCCGTCACATCAAAGTTTATGCGGATGAATTTTCCCTGAGAAGGAGAGCAGGTTGGTAAAAAAAAAAAAAAAAAGCAGGAATTTTTTTTAAAGAGAGAAAAAAAAACAGTAAATGAAACAGATTCTTGCACTTTAAACCTCAAACTCACAAATCGAGAGGAGTTGTCATTTTTGATGGTCTTGGCATTTCCAAAGGCCTCCAGGATCGGATTAGCCTGAAGGAGCTGCTTTTCCAGCTCGCCCTAATGAACAAAGTAATATACAAAAGAAATATTGCTTTTAAGCTGTAAAAGGTGGTGTTAAAAGGTATAAAGGTATTTTTTTTTTTTTACCACAATGATGTGGGTTAAAAGAAAGAAGAATGAATAAAATAAGCCCTAATAGATTTACAACAAATTATGCATTTTATAGTCAGAGTTAGATGGTGGCATAACTCCACAGAACCAAAATTATTCTAATGAGGTTTGGTAAAACCTAAATTCTTTCCAAAATATCTATTCTCGATATGTAATTTTCTTCCTGCAGACTGCAGAGAGGCTGAATGACCGTCCGTCTAACCGAGGACGACAGCTCATCACTTCGAATCGAGCTAATCCTCCTGATCAAAGAGGCTGTTTTTGTCTGCATCAAGGTTTGAGGTAGTAGATTTCTACATAAACTTTCTCACTTAAAAACACCCACAGTGTAAATGATCTAAAGTCTGGAGGAGAACAGGAGGAAAACAAAAGAACAGCAAAAAGAGCAGCTCTGAACCTTGTCAAATAGATGATTACTTGGTTAGTAATCAAAACATATTGTAAAAGAATAATGTGATTAAAACATCTACTTATATTTTAGAAGAGATTACATCGTCACATTATCCTTCTAAACATGGACTTATCATATTTCAAATACATTTCAGATTTACTTTTTTGCTTTTTGAGTAAAAAAAAAAATTGTTTCTACCAAATGAGGCAAAACAAAATACAGACCCACTGATGAGGGGCAGTTCAGAGTTCAGGATAACTGGAAAACAAAGGAAAGAAGACAGAGCACAGCAAGGTGGAAACATAAGGAAAATGATCTCATAAAAAGAAAATACAAACTTTTGAGAAGATAGATAAGCAGCAGACATGGAGGAAAAAGGCCTGAAACTGGCAGATTGGAAAGAAACAAAAAAAGAGAAGGAAGAATACCCAGAAAATATTTATTCTAAACAACCAAGAGGGTGTTTCAGATCAGTAGTAAATAAATAAATAACCTTACCTTGAAAATGTCAAATAACCAAAAAAAAAATATATATAAATTGGGTTGGGAAATAAGTATAAAGAAATGATATTTTCTCCACAGTTAAACATCTAATTGGAATGTTATGGAAATGAAATGCAAGCCAGATATCAGTAAAAACCAAGAGACCCACACACAAATTATAAAAACCACTCCAGCTCATCAATTAAGCAATGTGTAATAAAACAAATGACTGAGAAATGGACACATAAAGAAAGTCTCAAAACATTACTTCTACCTACTAATACAATTTAACATATCTGGTTTAGTCCTAAAACATGAAGAGCCTGTAATGATAGGTACAACCAAGAGCTTCACAACCTAGTTACTGCAAAACCTACTAATAGAATTGCTAAAGCCATATTTCTAAATGTTAAAGTGAGAATTTCACTAGAACGTAGGCTCACACCAGATGGTCTGAGGAGTCAGTCTCAGAAAAGAAAACAGTGTAGGCAGGCACATTTTTTTACTCGTAAAACAACAGTATACTCTAATGTGGTGACAGACCTAGTACTGAAGAAAAACAATTCAGCACAATATTTTGACACAAAGGTGAAGCAGCAATCAGGTTAGGAGAGGGGAACATCATGGTTTGGGGCCATATTTTACTGTCAAAGGGAGGATAAATGGAAAAATCTGTCTCAGGAAATTCTTGATAAGAATCTCAAGATAATTGTTGATCCAGTTGGACAGAAATAACAAGAGAGAGGGCACAGATCCGTTCATGGAGGAAAACTACTTAGGAAGTCTTTCTTGAAGCACCCCTGTTCTGCATATTTTTCCGCATTATTAGAGCTGCAAAAATTATTATAGGCAGCTCATTTAAAGCAGATTGTAAGATGTTTTAGTTCCTATTTTGGAATTTGTCTTCCAAGCCTCAAAACAGCATGCTTACAGCTCTGTTGCCAAGAAACAGACAGTATCACATTAATTGATATGGAGGCTTGTGAGGTTGGGTCAGATCAAACCAGTTCAAATTCAGAGCAGAAACTAACCACACCAGAATCCATTTGGAATCGAGACAACTTGACAAAGTAGATCTCTGGTTGTTTGCTCTGGACCAGGGTTAGCTTGTGTGAATTTCCAAAGATACAAAAAGGTCCAGACCGAGAGTGATAAAGAACTCTGACAGGTTTAAAGCAGACCAAACATGGCAGGTGTGACTGTGACCATAGAAAAGATCTGAAGATCTGATTCAAAAGAAGAGGCTCCAAGGTCCTTCAAGTACTGAAGACATTTTTGAGTAAAAAACTGGTTAAAAATCGGACCTGAAAAACAAATGCACCTATCATCTTGATACCTGTATCAAGATGATGCGTTTAACCCATCAGTACCTTTGAGCAAAGGTGTCCATATTTCTACCCTTTATCACTAAAAGTCAAAACGAATCGGTCCAGAATCTGATTATTCATAGCATATGTGGATTACTTTATCTGTTAGAGAATTCTTGAGAAACTGTGACATAAACAGCCACGTGTAAAAGGTCTCTACTTTTTCTGCTTAAATAACTTAAATTTACTATTTGTTTCCACATGTTTGTTGTCTTTTTTGACTACATGTTATACATAAGCACTGTAAGGAAGCAGCAAATCTAAAAAGAGATAAAAAAAACAACAACCCTGCAACAGAAGAGGAATCTGTGCACCCCTCCTGTGCACCTGACAGGTAAGGTTATGAATGTATGAGTCAAAGGAAGGTCAGCTTTGGACAGACAAACAACAGGAGATGGGCATGCTCACACTGTGCTCGATGATCTGTGAGAGAACCTTTCCCTGCCACAGAGAGCTTGGTTTTATCTCCAGTGGCAGTGAAAGGATGTACGAAGCTGCCAGTCTGGTCACAAGGTAGAAAAAGGGGCACGTCCATCACTGTGTATCATACCTCTACTGATCATTATGCTTTCTGAACAAGCTAGTCGCCAGAGTAAAAAGGTGCAGTTGGACTTAAAATGCAAGGACTAATTTGTCCATGATTTTCAGGAAGCTGTGCCAACATTTCATTCCAGCGAGGAGCCTGTTCAGAGAAATCAGCTTTAACTAGTGATGAATGCTGAGAGAAACACAGTCTAACTTAAGACAATTGGACACCCTGGATGTAGATGAAGTCCTTCTTGGGCAACTTGGTGACACTAACTCCATGCACTTTTAACTAAACACACAAATGGCACACGAAAAAAAATAAACACACACTCCAGGCATTCCCCTTTTACTCACGTAGGCAAACTGTGATCCTGATTGCTGCTATTTAAAGGAAATATACAGAATTAAACGGGGCAGATTTTTGCTTAAGAGCAAGGGAACTGGCTGACAGATCCTAACATGAGGTTTTCACACAGATACCTACAGCACTGCTGTCCTTCTTGCCCTTGTGAGACGAGGCCACAACAGCCAGATACTGGATGACCTTCTTTGTGTTCTCCGTTTTCCCAGCGCCAGATTCTCCACTGAGGAGAAGGAGAAAGAAGGAAAGGTTGAAGTGATTCAGAGAGGAAGAGAGAGAGAAAGAGAGCAACATGAAGCTAAACAGCACTGACAGGACTTCTGTTCACAGTTCAACAGCGCAGTTTAATTGATGAAATCATGTGCTGTAGAGATAACTTCAACACCTGACCTAAAGTAAAATCACACTTGCTGTTATGTAATATCATCCTTTTAATAATGCTGAATTTTTTTAAATCTGAAAACTCCACTGGCCTTGGACTTCCCCCTCCCAGTTATTTCAGTCCCTTGATTTAATGTTAAAACAGAGAGCTGGAGGTAAATGTGCAGACGTTTAGTTTAATTATTATGGGGATTGTGCCTATAAAGTGTAATGCTTTTAATCATCACATAGATTTAATGATTTTTAAGACAAAATCAGGTGTTTGGATCTTTTCAGGGTTTTCTCTGGTCCATACAGGATCAAATGTTTGCATGCACACCCGCTTACATCTTATTCCAACAGGCTAATTGCAGCCTTATATTTACACTCTTCTGGGTTTCAATTCATCCAGCTGCATGGGAAAGAGTAGGGAGTTTCTATAAGCATGCCAGACTTTGTGAAAAGACAGAAGAATCAGTAACAAAGCTATTAAACCTCTTATGAGTCTATGGGGAGGCTGTCAGATCCCTCAAACCTATGTTTTGGGCCACTGCACCATTTAAAGTAATTCAAATACTTTTACAAAGCAACACAGACAAATTCTTTCCCTCCAGACAACAAACTTGGATATATGACTCAAGCTGATTGATCCCAGAGCCATCGGACAGAGCAGACGTACAAGCTTGGTCAGGTGTCCTTAAAAGGCATGGGAAGCTCTGAGTGTTAGATTCCTCTTTGAGCTGCCAAATCCTAGCGGTGCTGTCATGTTTAGGCTGAGTAAGGACATACAACCTCCAGACTGAGGCTGCAGACGGATGTGAACACAAATTAAAATGCCCCAAAGATTTTCCTCCTGGTCATCAACCGTTCTGCCCATCTAGCTTGATTTCCACTACAACTTTATGATTTTCAATATATTCAAACTCAAAGTCTGCCTGCTTTGATTACTTCATTTCCATCAGGCCTTATGAGCGACAAAAAGAGGCTGACCTGCAGCATCCATAACGGAGGGTGGGATGGAGTCCAAGAGCGGTATAAACAGCTAATTAATGCGCAACATGATTAAGAAATCAGGAGCATTTTAGTAAATATTTAAAGCAGTTTGATGACAATATCTATGAAGTTTGAGAATGCATATTTTTGTTAAAAATAAAGTTTAGCAGGAATGCAACATCTGAATGAAATAACTCTGGATGTTTGATCCCACTACAAGTTCTGATATCTCCTAACAAATGCTAAAATACAAAACATTTTATAAAAAACAAAAACAAATCCTATGTTATATATTTCTACTTAATATGTCAGAATTCTGACAAGAACTTATTAAATTATCCAGGAGGAGATCTAAAAAAAAAAAGCCAAAAAAACAGTGAAACTCATTCTGGCCTTTATGAGATTTCAGTCAGAGGTCCGATGAGTCTAAGAAACCACAATGATTAAATTAACATAATTTTTTTAGAGAGGGCATGTCTTAACAGCTATATCAGTTTTCTCTATCAATATTTCTTACAAAACCTTTTTAATTCACACTTCATCAAAAATGTCCCTCATTAGCATCAAACAGCTTTGCTCCTCAGCTACTACCGTAGATCTATCCAAACTGTTCTAGCTTCCCTCTGATAAGGAAGCCTAATCGTTGAGGAAATAGTTTGATGGAAACCATTTGCTGCATCCTGGTTGCTGTAAATTAAGAGTTCAAATGGGGAAAGCCTTTTCTCAGCTGATTCAGTTCAACTATTCAGAGACGTTTTTGTCTTGATAAATAAAATGATGCAATCAGATCAGAGGTTAATTTAAAGAGAGAAAAACTAGATGTGCAGAAATACTGAAATAATCTGTTTATTTCATTATTCCAGCTCCTTTTTCTTGTCTTACTTAAATGTAACATACCTGTAATGAAAATGGACAAATATTAGATAGGGCGTTCAGTTTTAATAAGTAATGGAATGATAAACCCTTCTAGTCAACTTCAGTCTAAATTGTATAAACCAAACAAGGTTCAGAAAAATCCAACAATCTAATAAAGCCAATGTGTCAGGCTACCCCTGGATGTCCCAGCATCAAGTCAAAATCCTCAATAATTCTTTCCGCACAAATAAACAAGGCTGAGTCAAAACATTTTGAGAGCTAATCTGGTTCTCCAATCAGAGTTAAGGACACACTTCCTGACTGAATCCCTTTGAGAAGAGCGAGGACACAGCTCTCCCAGAAAGTCTATTAGCTTAAATACTCAGGAAAAGAGGCATGGATTTCTTTCTTGGATAAGCTATAATATATATCAGAATTAGATCTGGCTTAAATCTGCATAACGCAACTATTCTGTGACATATGTCTGAGTAATAAATACAAAGTCACAGATCACACAGACAAGAGCATTAGAGAGAAATTTGGAGAAGGTCGATTCACTTACGTGCAGAGAATGGACTGATCCTCACGATCTGCAGGAAGAAAGAAAATAAACTTATGATGACTTATTCACAATTTTAAAGAATTAAATCCAAAATAATCTGCAAAAGAGCTTAAATCCAAAAAAAAAACCCTAATTGCTATGTGGGGTTTACAGACCAGCGGGGAGGGCAGCTTTTAATTCATTTCAGTTTATTTATATAGTAAATCAACGGAACTTATGATGCTGTGAGAAACTATTTGGGCATTTGTTGTTTTTGCTTTTTGTTCACACTTAATTGTTTCAGTTTTACTCAGTTTATGTACATAGAGCTTACTCACAATAAACATCACAAGGCATGTTACAAAAGTATAATAAGCTCATACAGAGGGACATACGCACCAAGGTAAACTTAGTCAATACAAATATTGTAGAAACAGAAAAACAGCCTATTTAAAATGAATCAATTAAAACATTTCACTCAGATTTAAAATCAAACTTTGACAAAACCCCTAATTTTTCTTTTGTTTGCAAAGAATCTTTTAAAGGGCTTTCAGAATACTAGAATGACTGATAATAAGGTCAGGATCAGAGGATGCGATATTCTTCCTCAGGACCTTCTGGTAGAGAGCAGAATGGATCAGCTTCAAGTCATTAACATCCTAAATCAGTAAAGCGGACCCAGATCATCATGTTACCACCACCGTGTCTATGATGTCTATATATCATGATGTTCCCTTTGTGAAATGTGTTCATTATAAACCAGATATAAAAAGTTCCACCATTGTCTCAGACAGTCAAATAGATATTTTTCTCATTGTTTTTAAGGTCTTTAACATGTTTTATAGGAAATGTAGGATTAGTCTGCATTCTTTTTGGCCAGCAGTGTTATTTCTTTTAATCCTTAAGTTCTTCCACAGAGGCCTGTTTTTGCTACTGTCTGTTTACTTTCAGTGAACGTTAAGCATAAATGAGGCGTGTGTGGCCTCTCGAGCTTCAGCTGACTTTGCGACCTCAGGAATGATTTCTAGATGCACTTTCATGAGTAATTCAATAGAACAGTCACTCCAGGGAACTTTCAGAAATGTTCCCTTTCTTTTACCGTTTTATTGTTTCTATACGTGATATCTGGCCTCGTTGGTGTGCTCGGAGAGAATCCATTTAATGTCATGGGATGTGTTGGTAAACAAACCTCGGCGTGGCTGTGACATCGAACTCAGCCTTCCATGAGCTATGGTAAAACGGTTATTTCCTTGTGTATCAAAATTGTGAATTTTATTTTTAGCTTTATTTGAACCTTTTTTTTTTCTATTATTACAGTATCAAAATATTTACAAACTATAAATTCATTTTAAGCCAAATCAAAAATTTTAAAACTCTGTTGAATCCATTAAAATCCAGTCCCATTTATGACACATTGCGGTTCGATTAGTGCACAGCACCAAATGAGATCAAAAAGAGATTAATGTATTGACCCAAAGATTAAGGAGGAACAGTACAAACCAAATATCTTGATTTTTAACAAACAAAATAACTTAATCTAAAAACAAATAATTGTTACAATCTTTGTAAAAAATGATCTTGTTAACACCTTAAGTCCGAGTAAGATGGAACAGTAACTGCATCCCTATCTTCCTGCCACTGTAGGGGAGGTTAAAGTAACTAGTATGAGTGATAGATATTTTGTTTTATTGTAAAAATTATTGATGTGATTTAGCTCCTTCAAACCCAGTTCTACGTCAAAAACTAAGAGCTTCTTTTCAGATGCGTCCCCAACACGTGATAATCTGCAGCCTTCGCTGAACTGTAAGCAAGAGCAGACATCGTTTCTCAGCGCTGACTCGACTTTGGCCACTTCCCTCCATTCCTCACATGCATTCACAAAACATACAGCTGTTTCCTTCTCTTAACTTCCTAATTAAGGCAGAGGCAGAGAGAACATGAGATGGCAAGATATGTGGGCTTTTGTACATTATCCAAAAACACCGCTCGCTTAGAACAAACCTAAAGGGGGGCAGCGAGGTTGCAGAAAAAGATTCCTACATCTGTAAATATATTGGGATCTCATAATAACATGGTGTTCTGCTGCAGTGGGACCACATTTCCCATGTGAGACTTTCACTTTTGCTGTCTTCAGAACATCAAAGACTTGAGAAAAATTTCAGAGGACTGGGATCTCAGCCAAGTGGGAGACAGACCATTCCAAAGGTTACAAGCGTTATTTGAATTTGCTGCAGTTAAGAATCATTTGGACTCCATCATCAGCAATGTTCCTGCTTAGACCATTCAGTGTGAAACCTCCTGCTCCATTAGTTAGAACTTCATGGGAAATACACCCAACGTGATTACCATATAAACTTGCACCACGCATACGCATTTTATAGGTGGCAAGTCTTGATTTTAACCTTTACAAAATTTTACAAATAAAAAAGGTCAAAGCTTTGTAGCTTTGAGGTTGTTTTCTAATATTTTTAGACACCAAGTCTACACAAATCATGACAAACATTGATGGTTATCAAAAAGGAAAAACTATTTCTCTAAGGATTTTTTTTTAAATGGGAAGAAAAATAGATCCATACAATTAAGTCAGGTGCTTGTTAATATTCTTGAGTCAACATGTTTATTAAATAGGCACTATGGAGTTTTCTAATGATACTGCCTCCTGTGGCCAAAACAAAGAACTGCAGCACTCTTCTCATAGCTCTACCTCGTAATTGACAAGTTTTTTTTTTTTCTCCCCTTTTTTAAATTGGTGTTTAGTTGAGTTGGACGCCCGTCGCTTCTGAGGAGAGCAAACAGCTCTGGGTGGGATTCAGCTGTGAACTTGCACCTCAAAAACAACAACACACTTCTAAAGACGAGACTGTTCAGATTTTGGACAGAGAGGACAGACGGTTTGAAGAAGAGGGGTCAAGGAAGCCATCTTGGTGAAAAGAGAAAAGCCATCACCAAACACAGGGGGAGGATTGTGGTTTCAGCTTCCAAGCATGTACAATTCAGTCATGGAACTGCTTCCAAGAAGTTACATAAGCAATCCCATTATGATTTAAAAGACCAATCAGAGAGCCCGTGCACAACAAAAGCCTCCAACAATCTAGAAGAATATAGGGCGGCCATTTTATTTGCATCTGACTTGGAATGTGTGCAGGAGGATGGACCTCCATGCTGCTTAACTGAGCTTTAACCGAGTTTGCTCTGGTGCTAGCCAACAGAAATAACAATGACTCCTGCAGGTGTCGAAACTTGTGAAAGTCCAGCTACCTTCCAATTTAAGCCTGCTTTCAGTATCCAACTCCAATGTAAATCATCAGCTTAAATATTTTTAATGTCATCCCGTAAAAATTCAAAAAATATCCACTGGACTTGGTTTTCTAAGATTTGCAGTTGCATTTCACCGTGGACTGTTACTCTTAAGAAATGATACAGATTACAATGAAAACATTTTTGGAGCAGCTCTTCTTTAAAATATCCAATCCAAAGAGGCGGTCAAAAAGCCTAATACATGTAAACTTTTTATGCAATATTTTGTAGGCCTGAAAAAAATTTAGTCTGAAGCAAAAGCATTGCGTAAAACACTCCCGCGGCTTTAAGTGTGATTTTGTGTGATCGACTCAAAAACAGCTTTGAGCTGTAATGGTTCTTGTGCACAGGATAAGCTGAAGACATTTAAGCAAAACATCAGCATATATATTAGTCAATCCACCCCTTTTCTTGTTTACTTGAAAGCACATATTTGCAAACTGTAGCTATAGAGGTAAACACTGACATCCTGTGCACTGGTTTGCTTGAGGGAGTTTTGGATAAGCAGATACGGTTTCTCAAATTCCATATTAACAAAAAGAATCCCAATCTTTTACAATTCTTGCCCGGAACCATGATAATATTGGCAAACATTTGTACTTGTTCCACATGTCTAATCAAATTATGTATTCCAATACATAATTACATGATGGACATGTGGAGAAACTATATAAATCCAGACATTCTGTTCCTTAGAATAAAAATTTAGGCTGACCCACATTTCTGGCAGATATTGGCGTATATATTTTTTTCTTTTATCAATTAATGTATGCTTGTGTTGGCCAAATCATTAATGCATTTAGCAGCCATACATTGAGATCACATAAGGGGCATACACATTGATTAATAAGTAAATGTTTCTTTTTGTTTTGAGACTTGTGTAACATTTCTTATTGTGTCAGAAGAGAAAGCAATATCTGCTTAAGGAATTGGCTTCAGCACTTGTGATGTTCAGTAGATGTAATATTTTGAATATATATTTGTTTTTAATCACTAATTAAAAAAAAGAAAACAAAAAAAGGTTTTAGCTATAAATTCTAAAATGTGACAGCAGAAACCCCACCCAAAAAACATATGTACGGTATGATCTTAGGTGCATACATTTTGCACGTTCCATTAATACAGAATATTAGCTTTTGGCCTTTGTTTGCTAAAGGTAATTTACCCCATGGCTTATATAGTCAATTGCTCTGCTGAATAATCATTCAACTCATACACTTTAATATTAATTGGCTCTGAATTTACACAGAACATAACTTTGGACACTTCAAAAAAAGCAGGTAAAATTAAGGAAATTTTCCCAAATACTCATGTCTTGAAGATTCTCACTTCCATTTTGGAGGACATTTCCTGCAGTAGAAATAAAAATAAAACCTCCGGGATTAACATGGAACAAAAGAGGGGGGAACAAAAAAAAAGTCAAGCTGAACAAGGAAGAGAGGTATCTCAAAAAGGAAATGCTTAATGCCCCCCACCCATCTTTTGATCCAGATGTCAACTCCTTTGAGAAAATGTCCTCATGTCAACATCAAATCAAGTAGCATAAACCCCACTGGAAACAGATTCTCTGGGAAATGAGCTGTCGTGAAGCTAAGAGCCATTTACTGTAAGCACGATTCTGCCAAGGCCACAGTCATCACCTCTTTGACAGCAGCTGAAAAAGGCAATCATATTACTATTCTAGAGAAAGTCAGATCCCTCTGACAAGTCCATGGTGATTTTGAACATCAGCAGGCAAAACTAAAGCTAAATTCTAATCCCAAACAGGAGGTCAAAAACCCCAGCTTATTTGTACTGAAACTACAAAACTAGCAGCAAATTCTTTAAGTTTGAATAGTTAATAGTTTTACCTACATTATTATCCACTGACCGCATCAAGCAACTACAGAGGAAAATCAAAAGAGCGAATCAAAAGCAAAACAGCCAATCAGATCCTCAACTCACTGAAGTAGTTTAAAAGTAGAGACAGAAGGTGAACCAACCGGAGGAGAAATCCTACCTTGCATCATGTTTCTGTAGGCATTATCAGCTATAGCATAGATATGAGGGGGGACTTCATGTCGTTTCTTCCCTTTGTACATGTCAATGATCTTCTCAGAGTAAATGGGCAGCATTTTATAGGGGTTCACCACCACACAGAACAGGCCAGAGTATGTCTGTCAGGAGAAAGAAACATTTTGAAAACATGTCTATGTTTTGACTTTTAGCTGCCAGGGTAATGATTAGTGAGAAAATACATTTAGTGAAAAAATATAGTTATGTGAGATTTTAGAATCTACTTAATTCAGGGCAAGGTTTGGATATGTATGATCAATAATATTTCTGCATGCTTTGCAGAAGCATACTTACATAAATGAGCCCAGAGAAGTACCTCTCACGTAGATTGTGCAACACAGAGGCTTCGTTAAGGCAAGTAAGCTCTGCCATGTCCTCCACCTTGCTGAACTTGGGAGGGTTCATCTTCTGGATGTCGTCCTTGTTAACAGTTATTTTCTTGCCGTTATCAGCCAGCTCCACCAGCACCTCGTCCCCATGCTCCTCCTTGATGCTCGCTGCCTCAAAGCCATGCTTCTCTGAGGGGATCCACACCAACTTCTTGGCTGACCAGTCGGCCTGAGCCATAGGGCTGTTGAAGAGGTCCTTATCGACAAAGAGGAACTTTTCGTCCTCTGACGGGGCCGTCTTGGACATCTTGGCTAATGGTGGAGGGCCAGCTGGTGAAAAGAATTAGGGAAGGGGATGTTTAGAAAGAGAGATGGCAACAGTCATGCAACAGTTAATGTTAAGGAAAACAAGGGATTGCTATTGAAATTTTGTGTAATAGATCCCTGTGTAATCTGGATTTATATTCAAGGCAAATTAATCTCATACTTCAATATAATCCAGCGCAACGCTTCAATGACAACTGCTGCAACACAACAAAGTCTAAAATCCATTTAAACCGAGCAGAGAATTAATCAGAGAAACTTCTGGAGCAGCAGAGACTCACAGCTAGATTGACAGAGGAACCTCTAGTTGAGTATTTTTCAGGGGTGAAACTCCTGTCCTTGAGGCCAGAGTCCTGCAACTTTTACCTGTGTCTCTGCTTAACAACACCTTGATGATATAATGTGTCAATAATAAGACTTTCCCCCCAATATGGCTCCAAAAGGACAATTCTTCCATTTGGTTCAGGAGTTAAGGCTCAAGTTG